AATGACACTTAATATCTAATTAAGTAAAAAGCATTTAATAAATAAACTTATGTTTACATTATGAGATATATATATATATATATATAAAAAAAAAAAAAAAAAAGTCACTAATACATTAATAATTATTATTATATTATTATTATTATTATTCACTAATACATACATTTATGTAATGCACATAAACCAAAATTACTACTCATTTACAGATACGTGCTTCCATATGTGTGTATGCTATAGCCAAATTTAATGGGTAAATGATTAAAGAAAGACTAATCTATAAAAGTTTGTTTGTTTTTTTTTAAACAGTTGTTTAAAACAAGCAGCTGATTCAGCCGACGTGACGGGCCGAGGAAGGTGGTTCCAAAGTTTAGGCGCTATGACCTCAAAGCATCATCATCACGTTTGGATTTAAATTAAGAACACTTTAAAGACCTTAATCCTTTAATTAGAATAAGATCTGAGGAGTTCTCATATTTAAGCCACACAGGTTTATGCCATCACTGTTTCATATAGGAATTTGGTTGCCCAACAGTTTGTCCTCCATCACACTTTCTTTTTCATAATGATCTTAATGTTTACATGAGTGGCAGTACTAAACACGTTTTTAAATATGCTCATTAAATAAATTAAATAAATAAAAATAAAGAGGTTTAAAAAAGGGTAAAAGGTAGCAAACATTGTGAAAATTCTGTACTTTGAGAAATGTTTCATGTTTTGCCAACATGCTGGCAAACTCCTCACCATCTGTACTCCTGAAAGGTGCCGTCTCTCTACACTCTCTTTTTGTTCCCACTCACATTAATGACCCGAGTATATTTTTTCCCCTCCAAGAAACTGATACGTTTTCTATGTTGCCCCATGTCTACTTTTAATTTCTTTTCAATAAAACAACTAGCGTCTTAGTGTCCACATTTGAGATGTCGTTTTCGTATAACTTCTCTATTAAAGATAAAAGGTGTAAGATGATTTGAAAAACATGTTTCTGTTTGCATTTAGATAGCTTGCAAAAGTCTTTTGGGGAAAGTGAAATCTCTGTCTATATAAAATAGAAGAACTGAGTGGCCCTGGGGCAAACCACTGTACTGCTAGGACTTTAACGTTTCTGTGGATTAAGATGAAGCATAAGGCCGTGGCAGAAATCAAAATAACTGGCTTTTCCCCCTTTTTAAAATAACAAACACGCATCGACTTCATATCCTATGCAGTCAAATTCTATTTGACTCCTAGTTTGCATCTGTTTGCCTTTCCTCACATGAGAGCAATGACTGAAACCTCAAGATGGCTCAAGGTTTGAGAAAGATTCTGAACAGAAGTGGTTTTGGTTGGAGTGACCTTTAGGGAGGCCTAAAGGCCAACAAAGATACCCACACTCAGTTTACATTCTTAAATCGGGGGCTCTTGATAAGTAATTTTAAGGATTTTAGGATTTTAAGGAGTCTGGGGCAGAGGGCCACAAAGGAAAAATAAAACCATCAAACCAATAATTTATTAAAAAGCTTCCACAAAGCCACTTTAGCAAAACAGGTGAACTGGCAGAGATGTTGCTACATCCCCCTCTGGGCACAATGAGTACGTCAGGGCAAGCGGTCACTAAAGTCTGCAAGAGAACTAAACGGAGCCTGTAATGACCTTGTTAAGAGTTTTACACTTTCCAATTTATTTACTCATTTATTTAAATTCAGTTTAGTCTCTGATGATTTCCAGAGTTTTGCTGGTTTGGTTTTAGTTTTTAAGTGTCTGAAAGTGAATGAAAATGAAAAACAGTGTACATTCATTTTTGTGTGTCTTCTAAAAACGGGTGGTATTGATTAGGGGCAAACCTTAAAAAGTTCAGAACAGGTACAAATAACACACTGAACTCACATCCCAAGTCTAAATAAATATCTGTATTAAAGGATGGCCATCTCTGGGCTACAGGCCACACTTTTAAAACCCTGGTGCTCACTTTAAATTACCCCCATATAGCAAAACTATTGAAGCTGGGCCATTGCATCTCTCAGGGGAAATACAGTTTAAGGACCAGGTGTCTTTGGATATGCAAATAACTAAGAGCTTAATGAAGGAATTAAGCGAGATTAATGAAGCGTACTCCTTACTTTATATGCCAATTTAAAACATCATTTCCCTAATTATCAGTTCAAGGAGTAATTAAGCGATTAGTAATTACCCTAAATATTAATTAAAATACCTAAAGATGGACTCCGTGTTCAAATAGGTGTAGGAGGGGAGAGAAAAAGTTGATAGATTCACTTTCATGGTGACAAGAAGACAGATGTGAGCCTTCCTATTATCCTATGTGTTCCTATTATTCCTGTTTCATTGTCATAATGTTTGTGAAAGTTCTTTAGCAGATATTTGCGGATAACTCAGTAGCAAACATCGGATTTATTAAGTACGCTGACACAAAACACTTCCCGGTGTCGTCACGTTGTTAAATCTGACACTTATCTCAAACATTAGCCATGGAAGCATTTCTTAAGCTTAGACATGGATGCTACTGGGGGGAGAAAGTATGATAACCTAATAAAAGAAGAAGGGCAAAAAATTAAATGAAATGAATGAAAATCAGTGATATTATTGAATAAAGCACTAATTTAAGAACAGACTCCTAAACCATGGATAAAAGCAGATAGACAGTCGTGACAGCACGGACAGAAAGCTTCAGATGGAGTAAGTGAAACCTGTCTGATCGTCCATATGGAAAATTTGAAGAAAAATTTAAAACAGCCTTCGTGAAGCCTTGACCTCACATCACTCTTCTGTCCATTTGCCTCTCAAGCCACGATTCAAATTCTCTGTCTGTGCTTTCAAGGTCAGGCATTTCCATAAGAAGTACGAATATTTCCCTAATCAAAGAGACTCCAACTTGCTGCGTCTGCTGAGGAAAAACTTCCTTGCGTGTTTATGGAAAAAACATCCAGGCTGGCTGGGATGGGTGTACCCACCAGCCGCCATTGTGTTCACAAATACAACAGTAGCCACAATTGAGGGTGTCCAGGCTTGAATCACAGTGTTTTAACTGCAGACAAGATGTGTTTATATAGTAGCCATATGTAAAAGGCTCCACTTCTTTTACTATCAAATGTTAGACCGTGAGAAGTTTGCAGCATGGAGAGGTTACACAAGTTATAAAGAAGGAAATGGGTTCAATGCTTCAACACAACTAAAATCTATATGGAGGCCTAGAAGGGACACAGAGATACTAATAATAAATAAATAAAGTATTATTATTAATTCATTGTTTGAATAAATAACCTTCAAGTCATTCAAAAGTCACACTCCAAAATTAAACAATATGTGTCCTCTGCACACTAAAAACGCTGGGTTGTTACATCTAACCACACGTGGGGCTGAGCCTGTTGAGCCACTGTCCTGTTATATGTATATGTAGCTCAGATGCCAGTTTAGTGAGCGTAGTGCCAGCTCTCGTCACAGCTGATGTGCATCTATCCACAATGCATCCGTATAGCTGGGCTTTAGTTTTGTGCTTGTCTAGATTAACCTTGCATGGGCTCGGTCCAGTTAAGTGACGTCATTGATTATTGACCATGTAGATACAAATACAATAAAAATAAGAACAATAGTGTAAACAGGTAAACAAAGAAAAGTCATACGTAAAATGAGGATGTGATGTTTAAGTTAAGTGCTTAATTTTTCTGTCTTCTGTGACAGCCAAATTCTGGAATTCACCTTATTGAAGTTTCATTATTCTTATGGATTTTAATCAGAATTTCCAAACTGTGGAGCAAAAGCAAAATATTTCATTGGAAGCACATAGAAAGATATTTTTAAAATGCAATACACTGGGGGTTTTTTTTTGGACACATCTGTTCAATACACATGTCCATTTACCTCAGACACTGAACAAAGACAGAAACACGAGGAATGGAAAACGTATGATAATTTTCGCAGCTGTGACTTGCCTTAGTCATTCTGGTATTTATTGTGGAACACAGCCACTTTTACCAGCCCTCCAAGTTGGTCTGGGTATCACAAATGTAGCATGAATACAATTTGATACCACATTGAAAAACCATAATAAAGACATGTCGCCCATCCCATCACAATCCAGACTGTATTTGGTCCTAATTGCAGCTACTTTTGGTGACCCACAGCTCAGGTAAGGTGCTGGTATGTGTTGTATGGCACAGGTGTGGCCCAAATGTCAGGACCTTTGTCCCATACAATGTGGGCTTGTGGCAAAGCTGAGACTGCACCACTCAAACCTCATTAAAATTGTTAGTGAAGACCAAATGTGGGCCAGAGAAAAGCACGGACGTGAGCCACAGCGGGCAGAATAATCCACAGCAAGCTTCAAATTTATCTGATTTCAACCAGGAAGAAGAATGTGATTGTGACGAGACAGGTGATGCCCATGTTTTCATGCCCATGGGGCTTAATTTTATTTATTTGCTTATTTTAAATCTAGGGAACACATTAAGGTATATAAAAAAATAGAAGTACTGAATATATCTCAACCCCACTCAGATTCCAGAGAGATTCCACTTGAGAGCAACTGGATCCTGTTAGGGAAATTCCTTCTAATGGATCATCATATTATGATCATTTTTGAAGTTGTAAATTGTTGAATGATACTGACTTGGGAGTTTCTAACGTGTAGCCTTCCTTCACAGGAAACAAAAGAAACGTAAAAGTAATTGTTACTACTCAGAAATTTAGAAACAATTCAGACATCATTCAAACAGAACCAGCAGCTTTTTAAAATCATTTTTGTAAGTAGCCTAAAGCAGTGTTTCCGCTAAAATATGCAGTAGAGATTTTAAAGTTAACCTCTTCTTGGACAGGACAAAAAGACCCTTATTTTAAAACATTCGCGATCATTGAGGAGTTTTCAGTGGGAAACTTTAACCGACAACAGAGGAAAGGTGAGCCGCCCAGGGGAAACTCTGGTTTATGCCCAATCTTTAACACTTACAAACCTCACAAACAGCAAAGTACTCAAAGCAACGCTTATACGTCTATATTTTAGCTCGACTTACTCGTTTCCTCGTCAGAATAGTATTAAAAAGGTGAATCGTGCTCTCAGTCGGTGTCCGGAGCGCTCTGTCACCGCACCATGTTGTCAGCTTCTTCCTGATTGTGCAGTCTCTGGCAGCGGCTCCCCGCCCTTCTTCTCCCGCTGCCTCACCTGGTTTAGTCCACACAAACCTGCCGGACCGGTCTCTCCTCCTGCCCCGAAAATAACAACTGAAAACGACGCGTTCAGACGTGGGGGCAGGCTGCAGCTGCGGAAGTGGGCGCGGAGGTGCTCTGGTCACGTGACGGACAGGTAAAGGCGTCTAATTGAATTTCTAATCAGACCATGTGGTGGCTCAAAGGGCGATGCTACCTGCCTGGATATACGATGAAACGTGTCGGGGTTTTTTTTATCGCCTGACGGGGTCTTATCGGGGTCGTTGTAGTGGGGAAAAGTGGGGCAGACCACTGGTGCTGAGCACAGTGGTGGTAAAACCAATACCGATGTTTTTTTTACCTTTATCATTTGTGTGATGAATGTTTGTCAAGTTGCAAATTCTGAACACATTTTAATAACCACTAAATCACAGGGAGTTTTACTTCCCACAATAACTACACAACAAAACACAACTTTCAACTTTTAATGCAGGTGTTTTTTTTTTTTGAAGACCTGTAATGTAAACGTACCTGCCACATTTACATTTACAAAGAGGACTAATGTTGTGTTATTTAAATGTCCTGCACGCTATAAATTAAACAGACACGACAGTCAAGACAAAAATAAGTTAAAAAAAAACGACATATCAGTCCTGTCACACTGGTATCAATCTTATACCAATACCAGCATTGGCATCGATGTCCTGGACGATCCGATTACTTCTAAAGACTATCCAGAACCCTAATGAGGGGTGGGGCCTTAGCAAGCCAGCAATGGCCCATATCAAAATGAGTTAGCACTACAGCATGACACACATGGCCCTTCATTTTAGAAAAAGCAGCAGGTCCCTCTTCAAATGATCTGATGACAGGGAAGCTCATATAGTAGCAGCTTAAAGTCAGTCCAAGCAGTCATGTATCAAAGCAGGTCCAACATTATACTTTAATGTTAGACAAATGAGGTAAGCCGGCATTGTGAGCAAGCAGGTGTGCTTCAGGCCGATGAAACCTAGCTTGCCACAATCATTGCTTCTCAATCAAATGTTTGTTGGCAGTTTATATTTACATGACGATACCCAAACTCATTATAGTTCATTACAATTACAATTAAAATTAAAAATTTGATGTGAAACAAACAACCAAAATAAAATGTCCTTTTAAAAGAAATGTCCTTAGTTTTAGTATTTTCAGTATTTTTTAGTTGTCAAAGCCTGATGAGGTTCTTCAGTAAAAACTGTCTGTGGTTTTATTGTGAGTTTAGACAATAAATTGAGTTTGAGTTTCCTAAATCTTGCGCCTTTTACATGTTCTCTATACCATAATAATTAAAAAGACTAAAACTAACAGTGAAACTAATGAAAAATACTTTTAAAATAAACATTTTCAAACAACAATCCACAAATTCAAATCAAAATTACAATAAAAACTAATTAGAAAATACAAACCTATAAAAACTCAGTGAATGCCTTAATTGAACTTTTTCTAATTTTGTGAAACATTATGAGGCAGCACACTGACACACCCACATACATTTTTCTGTATTGCTTAATCATCCAGTATCTACAAGACAATTAGACTGCTTTATAATTTTTGAGTTTGATAAGATCCAAATAATTCAAACAGGAAGTGGCATTACTGTGCAAGAGTCTTGAGCCCCGGTGAAAGACTTTTTGGCAGGTTAGAAAACTACAAATACCATTCACTGTACAGTCATCCTTTAAATTAATAATAACAGAGACATTAAAAGAGAGAGGCGTGGAAACTGCAAATGTTGGGTGATTTTATCAGATTTGGCTGGTGATTCTGTACATGATTTTTTTTAAACTTCCTATTTACCACAAAAATTAAAGTGAAGGCTCTGATTGATCTGTAAAAATAGTTTCTCTGTCAGCACATCATAATAATTGTGTTATACTTCATTTATTTCACTCTAAAAGCATCTATTGAACATTAACTGTTACATTAACCATTAATGTAATGTGATTTTGGATTTTCAGTGAGATGCACTGTATGTTTAGCTTTGATTTAAAGCCTAAGTCACTGGGTCACTCTAACTCTCAATTCTTAAAACCCAGTGCAATTCCATGGGAAAGTGTAATGGGGCAACATTACACCAAAGGCTGTGTTTAACAATATCTTTTTTTTATTTTTTCTTAATCTGAGAGTTTACATGCTGCCGATGCTTCTGGTGCCTTTTTATGTTATCAAAATACTTTGCCAGCGCTGATTGTCTCCTCCGTTGTTGTACAACAGTGACACCTAAAGAGATTCTACAGATTAGCAAGTATAAAAAATATTTAAAGATCAAATGTATGTGCTTTATTTCCCTGTCAATCATAAATCTTTTTTGATCGGTTTAATATGAGGCTCAGCTCTAACAGCTCTCTCTACAAATACTCATTATAATTATGTTTTTTTTATTTGTATATGTATAACACC